TTCAATACCCATTGGTGAGCATCCCGTGGACTATAGGTCTGGAAAACTTGGTTTGCGAGCAATACTTGTCATCCAAATGAATGGGATTGTAATCACCGCTGAGTCGAGCGAACTCTTGGACGTCCTCCGAGGTAAACGTTTTGGACAATTGAGCCGAAGATCCAACCCTTATGTCACTCACGCCTCTCACGAACAGCCCATTCGTGGCCACAAAACTGTTTCCCAAACTTTTTGATGACAATAACCTCAATGAACTCAACAAACCATACATTTCTCATTGAATACACAATTGAAGACTTTAATGCATTAATTGAGTGAATGATTAACACATAAATCAATTCAATTGAACACTAATTTGAATGAAACGTCAAAAAGAGTGCATTCAATGTAAACATACATTACGTAAGGCATGGGAGGGAAGGGCAGTGGTTGGGAAAGGGGGCAAAAGAAGGCAACCCACACCTTATGGGGCCATAGATGGAAGTGTCAATAAACAGTATTCGAGGCCTAAACCCCCGGCGCTGTCTAAAGGGGGCCTTCCCTGAAACCCTGTCTCAACCGTGCGGCCAAAGTGTGCAAACGGGAGACATATGTGAGAGACTGATAGTGACACCTACTGAGCAGATCTGCTGTGCTATTGCTAGCGATCGGATGTTCAGACGTGTCGATACAGACACACACTTCCAACCCATACACCACTTCACAGCCTTATATACCCCTCAATGCGGAACACATTCAACCGTTACAGCCCTCAACACACGAACCGCACTTATTCACTACTATTACAGCAATTAATTGTGTTTAATTCACTATCAAACCATTTATAAGCATTTATTACACAGAATTATATGTTAAATAAACTCATTTTAATGACAATTAGTTTGAATACAATGAAAATGTAAGTCTCGGTAGAGTTTGCATAAAAGCATTGCCTTTTAAACATAGCGTTGAGAATCATGTGATCATTGGTTTGTTATGTGATGTGAGGTTAGGTTAGGTTAGGTTTGGCAGTGAATATGAAATGCCTTTAATTGTAATCACATTTCAATGATTATCGCTTACAATGAGTTATCAAAGACATGAAACCCATGAAGAATACGACGAAACGAATGAGGAATACGAGGACAACGAACACTCACCAGAAGAAGCCGAAGAACCTGAGGATCCCAATGAAGATGCCATACGTTTAGGTATTTTGAGAGAATTTGTATGAAATGTTGAAATAAATGAATGAATGGTTTGATTGAACGGATGGTTAGGTATATCTCAGACACCATTTGAAGAGTTGCTTAAATTGAGTGACAAATTGGGGACAAAACGATATAACGAGACAATTGTCAGCAAATTAAGCAAAAATGTGGTCCAAAACAAGAGGGGAAGGGATGGGAACCAATTCAAGAGAGCCAACAAGAATAGGCCACAAGAGATATCATCGAAAAAAGCGGTCCAACAGTTGCGAGAAGTGTTTCAGACGAAGAAGAAGACAGAGATCGAGAGAAGAGATCCGCGTTTCGAAGAAGGAAGCGGTCGTTACTCCGAGAGTGTGTTCAATAAGACCTATGATTTTCTCAATGATATCAGAAATAAAGAGATGAAGGAATTGAAGAAAATGTTGAAAAAGACTAAAAGCGATGACAAGAGACAGGAATTGCAGTATTTGTTGCAACGGATGACTAATCAAAGAACTTCTGAACAAATGAAGCAAAAGAGGAAACAATTGGAGACTAATGTGAGAAACAAATTGAGTGAAGAGATGGGAAGTACTGACAAGAAGAGCAAGACTTTCGTCAATAAATGTAAGTTTTGTTTTCGTTTTACACGACTTTTATCATATGAATTGGATATTAATTACTGAATGGATTTGTCATTTAAAGCAACGCTTAAACGGTTAGAATTAGTGGAGAAATACAAAGAACTGAAGAAATCGGGAAAATTGAGACAATATTTGGAGAAAAA